ACTCATCATAGATGTAGTAAACCCTAATGTTTTTGCAATTTGGCCATGTTTTTCATCCGTATCATATCATTATAACTTTTCCAATTTTACACACAAGGTAATGCCTTGACAAGTTCCTTTAGACATCTTGAATAAGGTTTAAAATGCAGTATCAATGTGAAAACTGAGACTATACTTTACTCAAAACAAGAAGAGTTAACTATGTGTTCACATTAAACTGGTAGGAAACTTGTTGCCATAAACAATATAAAATGCATGCCAATTTCTTTATGGTGCAATTTCCCAGCCATATCCCTGATTAGTAATCATAATATACAAATTCCACATGGGCAAAGTTGCACAATCCATATACTGTACACATAACATTGGGATGACTGTACAGTTTGGACCCCTCCCCACCAAATCTTAGCTATGGTTAAATCAAATTAATCAAGTTGTCACATCAGTGGACCAGGATTATTTAAAACCTGTGAGCTACAGATGAGAAAACCAAAGTGACTTAAATACTGTATAGAGATCACAGAGGTAGGAAGCCTATGCCCAAAACTCCTTGTTCCAAAGTGCCTTGATAGCTTATGACTGCACGGAGTACACGTTTGTGATTTAACTGATGACACAGTAGGAGTTAGGATATAATCTTAGTGTAAGTTGTAACACAGTTAACTGTATTTTGTATCATAACCATACCATCCTTTCATCACCTCTATCTGTTCTTTTAAGTACAGGTAATAGCCAGGATATTTATGTTAACTTCCGAGCGTTATTAATGCCACAGCAACACCAAAATTGTGTGGTGTTGGAGGGACAAGTTCTCCCTCCACACTCTGAACACAGCCATCCATTGAATCGCATGCTCTTGCTCTGAGTTAATATTATGACTCTATTTCTGTTTAGTAGATTGCATTTTTTTTTTGTAATGTATTACTAAGAGAGCAAATATGGAGTGATTTTTAATTTTATGTTTGTAATTAGTATGTATGCGTATGTTCAGTGAGTCTGTGCCACGAAAAAAAAAGAAAAATTAGGAATAATTTTTCACAGCTTTAATGGCTATTAATTGCCAAGTACAATGTTTAAATAATAATTAATATATCAAACATCTTGAGTTTCTCTGTCCTATTTCTTAACTTATTATGTATCAATTTATGATCTTTTACTTATTCATACATGTACCGTACTGTACTTCACAAGTTTCTAACATATGGCAGATGAGTGGTAAAACAAGGCTGGATAAATCACCACTGTACTACATCAAAGTCTGAGTGGCCATAACTCTAACAGTGTGAAAGACCTTAATTCCCCAGAATTATGTTGACCTGCTATTCCAAGCCAAACATCACCACCATCAACTTAAACCCAGGTGCAGAAGCAGGTACAAGTCAAACCCCGCTGTGGTATGAAGCCACAAGGCACTAGCTATTGTCACTACTGCTCTTCTTTCACCCAGAAATAAAAGGGAGGAAAGCAAATTAGACCACCAAAAACAATATCAGGCAGCAAGGTACCTATTGTATTATGGTTTACAGAAAAAGTTAGGTAAAAATATCTTATTGTAAACTTAGCCTTGTGTACAGTTTTGCAATGTTGGCACTCAAAGTAGGACCAAGGTTTCTCCCAGCTTTTCCACACTTGATGGATGCTAACATCTGTCCTGCAGCACCAGGACTCCTTAGACAATCATACTCTGACATCAGTAATCCTGGAGTTCCATACTGAAATGCACAAATACATTCAAATTATTACATAATTTTAGAGATGCAGAACATCAAAAAGAAATGTTAGTGCTACAAAAAAAATCCATGATATGATTTGCAGTAAAAAGTTTAGAGACTATGTGAGGAAACAGTAATATGGTGTGATGAAGACATAAATTCTGGATATGCCAATTTTTCATACTTCTTGAACTAAGTAATTTTTATACAAAATATTTGCAAATACAAAAAAATTATGGATTTGGTGTTCAGTTCTTACTTGTGTTTGATTAACAGTGCTAGTACTGTAGCAAGAAATGCAGCTATGAAAGCTATAAAATGGGAAGTTTGCCCAAAGTCTAATGCTATTCCTAAAATCTTACAATCAAGTTCTCAGAACAACTTTTAACCAAGGAAGTAATTCAAACTGTCATTACAATTTACTTGCACTGAAAGGTAACTGTTAAGGTAGAAAAAGGACTTAACTTTTATGACCGAGGAAAGTTTTAAAGTAGGGAGCTAATGAAACAGATTTGATCCTTTCAACATGGTGATCATGAATTCCCACTGGGCTTTGGGGCAACTCATTATCCAGCCTTATATACCTGCACAGCATAACCTGCCATTAAATAATGTGACCTCTCTCAGGGATACAGTGAGGACACTAGTGACAGTATTCTGTCATTTTAGAATGACTTGTACAGGAGCAGAAAAAGTAAAGTTCACTGTTATAATAATATACTACACCCCCCCCCTTAAGTGTTTACAAGTTAATAGTACTGTAATAACATTAATCACATTACCTTATCCACAATAGCCCGGGCCTTATCAACACTCAAACCATGGAACTGTAAGAGGTGTTTAGCAAACATCTCTCTTACTGTTAGTTGGCGATTTTTAACAGATGCTGCATTAAATTCTGTGAATGTCATTAGTGATGTCTCAGTCCTATCATGATCGTGCATCTCTTCTGGCAAATTATCCAGGTCCGTACGTAGCACAGCACTTACTGTTTTACCCTAAAAACAGAAAAAAACATAGGAAACTGTAATACCATACTACCACCTGCATGCTGAAGTGCAGTTGGACATGGACTGAAGAAAAAAATAAACTGTTAATATATTTTTTCCTCACTCTGGATACACTAACAGATGTAAGTCATCAGCACAACACAACAATCAACTGTCATGCAGATGTGTTGTAATGTGAGGTGGGAGAGGTGTATTTATGAGCACCATTGAGTGAAGCAGCCTCTTACAACATAGAGGAAAAAATTTTCAGTGATCCTTCTCAGCTCCCCTGTAGTTTACTAAAATGACAAAGGACCAGACAAAAAGAAGATGAAAAATTTTGAACTATTCCTCATATCTCATTTTCTAGGAAAGCCTGTGGCCAGACAGCTCAGGTAAAGGCAGCAAAAAATGTATCTGCTCCTTTTCAGTGTTATACAATATGGAAAACTGGACCAAAACTTCTGACAAATCATTTTGAGTTACACCGTATGGTGGTAGCCCTGCATTCCAAATGTCGAGTTACCATTTACTCTTTATCTTCTGTTTTCTATAAGGTGTTTAATTGCATCAGTGTGCACAATATGTTTCACATGATAAGAATAAAGCATTAAGCAGGATTTCTTACCACATGGTATTAAAAAGAGGTTTTGTAAGCTCATTTCTTAGCACTTTTAATTCTTTACAGCAAATCATCCCCTGAAGGCTTACAAAATGTAGTAATTTTTATCATTCTTCTTCATGGATAAGATCTTATATTTCATTTACTTGTATAATGTTACTTTAAATCAAATATAACTTATAATACTGAGGAGTTACAGAAACACTGTTTCATCTCATAATACAGTACAGTATATGAAATTGCTGTATGGCAACTCATTTCCTATGGTGGAAGTCATTTATTATGTGGGTAATACAACATAGTGTATAATAACACTGCCCTGAAAATTTAAGCATTTGCAAGTTGTTTTAATGAACATATGTGTATATAGGCAATAAACACATGCTCATTTCTGCTGCATATTTATTTTTGTTCTATCACACCCAGATGTTCCACAATCACAGGCATAACAAATACAAAGGATTATTAATCTGATAATTGAACAGACATTTTATATTTTAAACTTAATGCATTTTACTACATTTATGCATAGAATTAGGTGCAATGCAAAACCAGCATTCAAACGTATATACAGTATTTTACAAATTTCAGCCCCATTCATTGGTTACTACGACTGCAAAATCTTCCTTTTCAATTATTTTCTTTTGTAAACTGACTTGGGCCCATCCTTCTTCAGATTCCAGCAAGTCTACTATCATCACCATCTTTCCTGGTAGCTTCTTTCCATTTCTGAAATGTCTTGGTGGAACTCTTCACTTACAGCACTTAATTCTCAGAGAAGAAATTAAGATGGAAGTCTAGGAAGTGTATTTTAACTCATGTTACATCCCCACAAGTGATATTTTCTGATCATGTCTTGAACAATTTCTTTGTAGATATCTGACTTCTTGTTGCCAAGAAAGTTGTTCACAACATTTTTGGAAGCAACTAAGCATCTTCATGACCTTCCAATACATTCACAAATGTTGGACCATCTAAAAAAAAATATTATTTTAGAGCCAATAAACACTCCTTCCTTCAATTTGGCTCAACTAAAATGAGGGAATTATGATGTAAGAATTGGAATCCAGATGCCTCTTTGTTGAGTCCTTTGACAAAAGTTTTCATTAGTCCAAGCTTTATGTGGAGAAGAGGTAACAATATCATGCTACGGTCCAGGAGTAGATTTGCTGTAATATTTGCTTGTCCTGAAGCAATTATATCTCTGAGGATAATCTTTTCTCACATAATGTTCCTTTCTCACTCTGCTATTCCTCAGGTGAGAAATACAGCAGCACAAGCAATTAAGCACCAAGCTATAGTGGGGAAATCTTTTTCTGGCTGATGCCAATGGAGGAACTAGGTTCCTATTAAATCTGATGTCCTAAAGCCATATTATGCACAGCATATACAATCATGGAGGGGTATGGAAGGGATGACAAGGGGATCAGTTTATCTAAATTAGGTGAGTAAATCATCCCTGTATGCTAACTGGCCAGAAAATGCAAACTTCTCACAAAGAATATTAATTCTTAAGAGTGGGTTTAGAATATTTGGGGATATTTCATGTAAAACACTCAAGCACCCATTCATAAATGCAGTATCACCATACAAATAAATAAGTAATTTGAATAAAAGCTTAAATTTTATGCTTAATTGATATATTCAGATTAACACATTTAGACAATATTTTTCTAGACTGACCTGGTATTTGCTCTGGATACAACGCGTCATGATAGTAAGAAAAGCCGCCGATTCACGCTGATCTTTTGTCACCTTAATGTCAAAACCATCGACAACCTGTGTGTTAACCACCGCCTGAAGACATGTCGCCTCAGGCAGGCTGCAAAGAAATTCAACCAGGTAATTCATTAAGGTTTATCTGATATGTCACATTTTGAAGACCTCTACATTCCTTCTAGTGTTTGATAAGAGTATCTATGCTTCTTAATCATACAACAGTACTGATCATACAGTACAGCTTACTGTATGTTATTTACAAAGTTATGTATTTACAATTTTCCATCTGTTTAAGGTCCGGGTTGCTTACCGTAGTTCTTAACTTGTAATTTATTTTTTATTTGGAAACAACTTGTACAGTACAGTACTTCTATTTTACAGCATTAACGCTAAGCCCATATTCTCAGCCTCTTTTCACAAATCTATTGACCCAGATTATCGAAGTTACATCTGTAATCACTTTCTTCATCGCTGTCCTGGTAGAAACTTTATACAGTAACACTTCACCTGAGATTCTGACTTCCATATTCCTCCACAAGATACATGGGCTTGGTAAGGCCACACTTCTTGAGACGGAACTTTTGTTCACGGAACCTTCCATCTTTGATGCTTGAGGCGAGGTCATCCATTCTCTTACGTTCAATGATATACGGCAACACTAGTTCTCGAGGCTTCTGTTGGAATCATAAAACATATTACAAAATTAACACACTTCTTGAGAATGACTTCCTCATCCTCTTAGTTGATAGGGAGAACTTCCCTCCACATCATTCTTTGCTCTCCAGGTGTGCTCTTCTGCAGTGTTCCATTCTCTAAAAAATCTTGGTCATTAGACCAAGATTTTGTAGAGAATATGAAAGGTTGATGCAGAAAAAGGGAGGTTCCCCATTTTAGGTGTAGTGATATTAAACGTGAAAAATAATTGTATTCACATATATACAATGCATGTACAGTATAAGATATAATGAACATAAATTCCCTCCCTCTTAAATGTAATACTGTACTGAGCTTAAAAAATACAAGTAAAGCAACCCCGTGTTTTTCGCGTGTTTTTTATCGCAGTTTTTTTACTAAAAAATTATATATATATATAAAATTTCCTTAAAAAAAAAAATTAAATTTCGCGCCATTTTCGATAGTCCCGTGCGGTGCGGCAAACAGACACCCGCTGCTCCGAGTAGCCTTAGTCCACAAGTGCCTACCGTACTGTGAATGCCTCTTCTGTTTGTCCTCCCACGTGCATTCCACATGGCTCCGGGACGTAAGCCAGCCTCATCAAAGGCAAATATTACTAGCAAAGACTCTAAAGTAACCAAGAGATCAAGAATAATGATGACCTTAAAGGAAAAAACAGTTTTATTGGACAAGTTCAGAGGTGGTACTGTATAAGCTATGGCTCGAGATGTGGTGAAGACTGACAGTTCATTTGTGTCTTTTGTCAGAATACAAGTCTTCAAGTGGAGGAATGTGGATGGAAGAGGCCTGGCTGGCTGGCGTGACTGCATGAGGGCGGGCAGACGCCGGGACAGCAGGGAGAGGCTGGCAATGTGGGTGTTGCCGACCTCAGTGAAATATAAACTTTTTTATTTACTTGTAAATAAAATGTTTTTGTATATAACTGTGTTTACGCTTTTCCATTATTGTACAATATGATTAGTTTCAAATAATGATGTTAGTAAATGCCGGTACAGTGCATCAGTGATCAGTGTGACTACTGGGCCGTGAGTGGAGAGCATGGCGTGGTTAAGTGCATGACCTACCTGAGCTGTTTGGTGGCCACAGGTACAGTGATTCCTAAATGAGTATTCGCGGTTTTGGCTTTTCGCGGGGGTTTCAGGAACGTAATTACCGCGAAAAACACGGGATTACTGTAATTGAAAATACAGTACAGTATATGAATCTTACCTCCTTAACTCCTCTGGGACCAAAATTTAGTGAGAGGCGTTCTTGACACACCCATAAGAAGTCACCAATATGTAGCTTACGTACATCATACTTAATTCCATGTCTGTCTAATTCTTTGATAATAATGTCCTTAGTACTTCGTTTTCCTCCAGTGCATCTGCATGAAACTGTTATTTTTAATATGCAAAGTATGGGAATAAATGTATATCCAAAAATGACAAATTGTGGCTCTGTCTTATGGATCAGCCAACTCTGTAAATCACAAACCAACTTTGGAATCTTGTGATCACAGACAGAGAATGACGTATGTACTTGATTTTCACTAAATGGGGTAGTAACCATCCAGTGAAAGTACAGATATGCAGGGTTAGTAATCTCAACAACTGTCAACATGAGTACATGGGGTAAACATAAAATTTTAGATACTTACCCTCCACTTGTCTCTGCATTATCAATACATAACACTATTTCATATTCTCTGGGAAGGAACATAAACTGGTGAGTGGGAGGAGTCAACTGTTGCCTTCTCTTTGATGGTGAAACTTGAACATTCTTATAGGTGCTGCACAATGGTGCTTTTCTTTTTCCAAAATTTGAAATAGAGTCAGTAATTTCTTCATCAGGTGATAAATTATCTAAAAAGAAAGTCATATTTCTCAATAATTCTATTTGGATCTAGAATTAAAATTTTAATGTTAAGACATTCTATTTCTACTTGACTGCATACATGAAGCCCAGAATGATACAATATCATTTACTCATCTAATGTTGCTTTCCTTATGATGAGAACATTAACATACCTGATGTATTTTTGTTAAAATAAAATTCAGTATCACCCCTGTCTTGCTGAAGATTCTTTGTGACAGTGGTACATAATGTAGATGGTAATGGTGTGCTCCTCTCAAAATTATCAGAATTCATGGTTTCCTTTGGAATTCTTGAATTACATGCAAGAGATGATAGACTCTTATTATTTTTGTTAGTACCATGAACATTTCTCATATCCTTAGAGTAATCCACTATGCTACTAGCCAAGCTAGAAGCACTGCAGGTTCTTGACTCCACTATTGTAATTTCATCAGAGTCGTACATAGGTGAGTGTGATAAAGAAGCCTGGCTAAGTGTATCACTGCTTCCAGCAGCCATTAACTTGGCTGCTAATGCTTCCCCTTCTGGAGTTAAGCTATATCTGAATAAAAAATAAATACATAAATAAATATATAGTACAGGTATAGAGAAAAAAGATGTTTCACCATTATTAAAGAAAATATAATCACTATCATGGTTACCATGAAATTGTGAAAAATTAATATTAAATTATTTTGGATATCTGATTGTTACAGACTTATGCATATACAGTCAGACCATAATTACACCTTTAATAAACAATTCATAATAACATAATTACTGGCACAGTTGCCATCTCACCTAGCTGGACTGCTTTCTCTTGTGACAAGTTCCTTCTTGATAAGAGTACTCATGCAGGACCAGGCAGTATAGCGAGAGCCCTCAGAAGCATGAGTGAATGAAGCATCACACAGTGGTTGAGCAACTTCCATTAATTCTGTCTTCTTCATATATCCTTAAAGTCGTGGAGAAAAACTAATTGCATTCACAAAATAATAAAGTTGAATACTTATGCTTATACAGGCATGAGATTTTCTTATCAAATATATCAATATAGGTGCCATCCTCAAGTCTGAGGCTGGGAACCATAGCCACACTATGCTAATGTATGTCTACAAAGGAATGAATCTAGCTAAATTGATCAAAGGTCAGAAAAATAATAAGAAATAAAAAATGAACCTTATGGTCATGCAATCCTGAGATGAAAAACCAGTAACTGCACTAAAATGGAAGTTCAATCATGAAACTCCTTTTCCTGGTCAAGTCCATTGCCTAACAACCTCCTAAGTCAGTTCTACTCAGCTTTATCAAAAATTTTATTCACCTAACAATATTTACATTTATTGAAAGACCAAGAGACATCTGATGATGCTGAATGCATATCACAAGACAAAAACATGAAAATATTACCAGGAAAATTATTTGGTTTTGATGCTTCAAAGAGAGCAACAAGCAAGGCATAAGCACCAGATCTGGCCGCTGGCACATATTCCCGTACTTTTCTCTTTTTCTTGATAATTTCCTGAAAGATACAAGAGATTTATCCTTATATCCCATTTATTATGATGAAAATGTATAGATGGCCCACGTATACTGTACAGAGAGTGCCAATAATAAGTATCCTACCAGTATTAAAACTTCAGTTAAGGTGACATGGAGAGGACATCAAAAAACACCTGACACTTCAATATTTCAGAACAACTACAGGTATATATGTAGAGATGCAGTGAGAAGATTCAAGGAAGATTTAAATTAATAAGAAGTACATGCTGTATTACCCTCCTGAGACATTTATCTGTTAACCATCCTACTGTATACTGTACAACAAGAAAGTTTAATGCACAGAGAAAAATAAGTATCATGCAGTGCATGCAAAATCCACAATACAAGTCGTTTTGAGCATACCTGTAGTTTTAATTATGGCAGAGGAGAAATTAAAGGTGGTTAAGAGAAAAATAACTAACTAACTGTACCTGTACCTGAATAACTAACCTTGGATATCTTTGAAGGAGATTCAAGTACTTCATCTCTCACTTCTGGAACAATGCTGACTCTAACTGTCTTCTTTCTTACTTTCTTCTTTGGTGGGTCATGGCTAACCTGAAGTAAAGTACCAGGTAAAAACAATTCAGATTTTGTGTACAGTACTGTACCAGTAACCTTAAACATATATAAATTATCCAAAAACAATCACTACACGTACAGTATGCTGCATGTGTAATGTAATACAGCAATTATAGTTGGCAAAATATTATGAGGTAAATTGGCTGAGTAAATGAGAGCAAAAAGCTCTGGGTGATTGCTACCGTAATCAAAGTAAATTTATGGAATCTGTAAAGGGGGTAGTTAGTGTAAAATTATTGAAAAATGGTAAGTAAGATCTTATTTGTGGCTCTTCAATATTTAGTAACAGTAAGCCAACCTTAATGAAATCAATGTGCAGGCTCTGATATGAACACATAATATATTGTTACTGTAACACATTTAACCCACTTGGTAATACTTGTTGTTACTGTCACAGATGAAAATTACAAATCAAAGATCATATTTGAAGCTGAGCAGTGGTGAAGGTGACAGCTAAGGGACAGGGAAAAATAAAATAGTAAAAAATGTGGTTGATATACTGTATACGTACTGTATCTTCATGTTACAGTACTTCATACTGTCTACCGAGGCTGGAAATTAAAACAGTGTTAATCTTCTAAATTGCTGATTCTTCTACTTTCAAAGGAGCAGGACAACCAAAAAATTTAACATGAAGACATATCCTGTATCTCTTAAGGAATAACCATCATGATGAGTGTACTGACATGAGACTGATCTTGAAATCTCTTTATACAGTACAGTACTGTATATATACCAAAGCAAATTATGGTACTGTGATGGGAGATTCAGAGTGTATGGTTCAGGATATATCAGTGGTCAAATAGACTTATAACTCATTAACTGCGGCTGAGGAGTATCGATGTGTAGGTTAGGTTCATGGAACATATTTTTTTCCTCCAAGGACCCAATAATTCAGTGCTTCTATAATGCAGCTGTTTTGAATTATTGTTTGTTAAACTTGCATTACTACAGTTAACTTAGATGGCCAACATTACCATTGACAAATAGAAATACATGTACCTTATATCACTGTGAATGATAATTTCATGAGTCATATATGAAGTCAAGTAGCCAAAAACAGTACTTTAAGCAGTAAAGAGCTTAGTGGTAATGTAGAAAAATATTTATTAGTGAGTTTACCTTATGAATCTCATCCCAGTCAATTGGTCCATTTTCCTCTGTGTGTTGTTGCAAGTGTCGGTCGAGCTTCTCGCAGATCTTCTCCCCAAAATTTGCAATGACCTTGCAGTCTTTGCCCGAGTAGAGTGGCAATGGAAACAGCCGAAGTGATTTCCTAGCCTTTAAACATAAAAAAATAAATAACATAATTGACTACTGTACGTATATTGCTTTCTCTCAAGTTTACTCTACAATGGTTACTGAAATAACCAAAATTTAAATATAAATGGACACATTAATTGTGAAGACATTCATCTTTGTCCCAGCCTAGGTGTTCCTATGGGACTAAACATTCCAAGTGGTATATATAGGCCTATCCTACCCTCTGATAGTTGTACTTCATGTTAGAGTTTTTAAGTTCTGCATCTGCTTGCCATTCTTGAAGCCATTTGTCAAAAAGAGAATTTGGGTGATTGATGACACGTTTTATACGACGATACTTTTTCCTCTTCAGAACTCTTCCGTCTTTATTCATGTTAAATTCTGGAAAAAAGAAAAACAGTTTACCGATATGTAAATGTATTCACCATTAATTTAAATGATCCAGTTACAACTGGCATTATAAAACTATAAAAAACAATATTATGACAAGACAGTGCAGTATACTTTACATGTACAGTACCGGTAAGTGGAACCTCAGTAACCTGGCAACCTTTACTCAAGAATCCTCTTATAACCTGAACAATTTTACAATATTCTCATTAATTCTAGTAACTAACAAAATACAGACGTGAGTTGTAGTTCCTGGTGTTGCTGCCATGTCACCCAGAACAGGATCAAAATGTTTCCCTCACACAACCATCCGTGTAATTGTCTTCTCTATGAATAAGTATTGTACTGTATGTTTATCATCAAACTGGCTGGGAAGTTAGGTAAGGTTAGGTAGGTTTCCTTGGTTGGTTAGGTCAGGTTCTTTTATGTTCTAGTAAATGTCGCCTCTTTTAAAATACTTTAATGATAGGCAGTGGATATTTTATCATGACTGGCTAAGTTTCTACGAGTGCTATTTTACCGTGAGTGCGCTCTGATTTGACTAGTCATCCATTACTGGCGATCAACACGAGAATTATATTTAACCTTGACTCTGACAGCATTTGGCATTTATTTCGCCGTGAGTCGATCGTTGTGTAGCAGTAAACATACCTAACCATATTTCTGTTGTGCATGGAGACTTATCATTTTAAAAGAGGTGACATTTACTAAAACCTAATAGAACCTGACCTAACCAACCAAAAAAACCTACCTAACTTCCTAGCTGGGGTAAATGTTACTTTTAGTCCTATAATCTTTTAGCAACCTTCAAAACTGTAGCAAATAAAAAAAATTGAATATGACCACCCCCAAACAATAATGGGGGGACGCCGTGGGAACCGAGGGTTCTGGTTGTTGGGAAACTAAAAAAACACGAGTGATTTGCGCCATTTTTGAAGGTCAAAATTGATTCAAAACACAGCAAAACACATAGGAAAAACATATTTTTCATCACTAAAATATGCATCCTAACCTAACCTAGTTGGCCCCAGTCACACTGCCTAACCGGTAAACCTTTACCAATGTTACTTTTAGTCCTATAATCTTCTACCAACTCAAATTATACATTTGCGACGGAAATATCATAGAAGAAAATGGTCTTAAATTTTCTGTAGATTTCACATGTTGCCAGATTTATCGTAAAGAATTATAGGACTAAAGTTAACAAATACCCTAGCCTGGGGCGTCATATTAAACAGAAAGTACTTACCCAATCAGAACACACTTACGGTAAAATAGCGTTAGTAGAAACTTAGCTGGTCACGGCAAAATATCCACTACGTTAATGATAAGAACATTTAAGGAAAAAATGAACGAAATTGAACAATTCCTTCTGGTAGTAGCGGCGTTCTCAGATATTATCTTCGATTCATATTATTCTCGAGGTAACAAAATGTTGTTATGGACGTCCTGGCTAGTTTAGGAGGCACCAGGGGTCCTACAGGATTACCGTCGAAGGATAACTGATGAAAACCTTTGTGATCTTCCTGATATTCGTATTTTTAGTCCACAATACTTGCTCCACCATCTGAAATTCACCTTCAATAAATCCTGGTACTCCATTTCACGATAGAATGATGACATTACTTACAATTACCACAACCTAACCTTTCAATGTTCCCGCCCGTAAACACTGGATCGGGAATTTGTAAAAACACATTTTTAACAATATATTTTTCAAAGTACTGTATTAGGTTAAGTTACCTTTTTTTTTTAGAAGGTTGTAGTATTTCATATAAAGTAACAGAAGAATAAAATTTAATAGATTTTCATAAATTGTCCATCTGGCTGTGCCACCAAACATCTCATTTTCCCCAAGAAAGTTTGCTGAAGGAATTACTTAAAGTAGTGTAAGTATTGTCGTTAATTGTGTTTTATCCAATGATTTTTCCTGAGGGAGAGGAGATCATCTAAAACATTAATTCCTTAAAAAAAAATGTTAGCCTACTCACGTCACCACTCACCACATGTTGGTAAACAAAATCTTGAGGTCCGACTAATTACCCAAGTGTAGCCGCAATGAAGTCAAATAATGGTCCTACATGAATAAATCGGACTGCCAATCACTTCTCGATTATTATTTGGTAAAATAAATACTAATATGATGAAATTTTATGCTTTAGGAAATTTTTAATGGAGAATTACTACTATCTCATGTGTTGTCAGCCTGTGGTAACTTGTAATTACTTTACTTTTATCCTCTTCACCACTGATCGGCTCGTTAGCCGCTTGGGCGGTCGGTCACGTCTCTGATCACTTTTCCTTTCATTTTCTCTTAGTCACAGTAGGTACAGGTTGTTACCACTGATTTGGTTAGATAGCGAATGTTTTAATCCTATTATTTTTGGGAGTTATATAAAAGCCGCAAGTTAATATAGTGTGTCTTCTCCTCCCGATCTGTTCATCAGTGACAGACGAACTATTCTTGGGGTCTAATGCTAATTATATTGTGGCTTTCCGAGTTGATTTATTGATTGATTGATTTATGGAATTTACTCTCAAAGCCAAGCACTGGGGTGAATTTCTGAGGGACCCATTCTAAAGATATTTAAAAACATGTACCGATACAGTTTACAGTACAGTAAGCTATCACTTATACAGTAACTTTTATGTACAAACTCTCTGAGACTGTTTACACTACGCCAGCTTTAATGATATGGACGTCCTAGTGGACAAGGAATGGCTATTAAACTTACTCATACAACATTCTACATAACTCTGCTTCACTTAATCAAAAAAGATAATTCCACCAATCCAGTACCGGCAGACATAATGAGCCATACAACCCCATATAAGAAATACACTACACACATGACCCCAAAGAATCCAAGAAGCCAATCTAAGAAGGGGATAAATCAACATTACTCTTACATAAAACTTATTAAACTTAGTTGACTGTTCATTCCTGGATCTAGCAAAAGCCTACTCCTCAGGGTACAGAACCCACAAATTCAGAAAATTGACAGTTAAAATAAGTTGCATTTCTGGAACACACGTCATTATGATACTTAGCACTTCATCTCCAGCTCAAAAATTTCCATAACTTTCGTCTTGGACTGGCCATTCCACAGACAAGGGGCACAGAGTTATGATGTCCTCGAAGTCACTGCGTGCCGGATTATAACTTTGACAATCGACAGAACACGGCTTTGTTTGCCCAAATCTCCCCCTTCGAACCAGATATCAACTGTTTTGTTACTGATTGTCTCTCCATCAGTGATGATTAAAATGCTCAGCCACTGCTTGATTATTTTGGGGTAATTCAGGCACTCTTGTGTATTCATATTATCTGTGCCATCTTTGAATTTTTGTAAAGGGCGAGTTCCGAACTTTCCAGCCTTTGCAGGAAAGCTTGTTCCCAAGCCCTCACTCAAAAAGGAAACATATCTTACAAAAATCATACTCCATTTTCGCTTCTCAAGCCATGATCATGATAGGTTGAACTTATGCATCCAGCCAACTTATGTTACTTCTGGGAATTGATAATGTTCATCAGGAGTCAAAGTTCTGGTTAAGCAACGGTATTTCTCCTTAACGTCTTAAGTATAATCCTTGATGTATGTACACAGCAGCCTCGCCGATGTCGTAAGGATGGTAGGGGCCAGAGGGTGCTCACCCCACTAAAACTGGCATGATAATGCCAAGTCTGGTCACAATGTACCCTATGGTAAAGGAATATAACTGAATTGCTATTTAAAACACATTACCTGTATAACTGTTTCAATGTAAGTTAAATTTACATTTATAAATTCTGTATCTTGAATCATGTTTAGATTCGTTCCCAGTTTATTTCGAGGTTAATGACCCAAATGTTATCTAGGGGGTTAGGTTAAGTTAGCTTTCAGGTGGTTAATCATTAGGTAAAATAAACTGTTAGACGAATCCTAAGGTAATCCCACATCTTTTAGGCCATTTCTACTTTTTTATGTCTACATATATAAAGATGATGCAGAGGTTGTTGTGGAAAGTCAACAGGCAGTGAATAACTTTGTTAGTGTGTGGGGCCAAGACAAGTGGTTTTGAAAGGAAGAGTTTAACAGCGGCTGTTTGTAAATCTTACAGAATAGAAAATGAAACAAATTGTGTAAAATTTTTATGAAGAATGAAATACTAGAGATTGCAGATTTTATGTACCTGGGAGTGATATTAGGTATGAATTGTATGGTGGAGATTGAACGCAGGGAGACAACAGTACATGAAGGAAGTTTGGAGAGGTGGGAAGTATCATTAAGTAAAGAAATGTAAGAGCCAAGGTAAATAATACTGAACTTCCAACCTTAACTTATGGTAGAGAAACATGTACTTGGAATGAAATAAGAGATTCTGAGGTTACCAAAAGTGATATAAGTAAGAATTAGTTAAGTGTGTGGAGTATCTGAATGGAAGGGAAGGGTAAGGGTGTAAATTGTGGAGCAGTTGAGTGAGTGAGGAGAGGTTTACTGAGATGGTATGAAGGATAGAAGAGTAGCGGAGTATAAGGGCAATGAAACAAGTGAATTGAAAGGAAGAAGACTTTTTTGTGAGAAGGAAAAGTAAAATACATTAAAGAGGGAAAGGGGAAAGGGATATAGCAATAGAATGAGTAAAATTAATGATATACCGGTATGTGGCATGGGGGCGCTTCCGTTGTGGCAATCAAGGTAACCATATAAACAAACTTATAAATATCACTGCTCTGTGCTAGGTGCTGTAGCTACTATTGGATAATTCTGTTAACAAACTTGGTGCAACATTAGTGTGGATGGAGAGTAGATTTAAATCAACTTGCCACCCTGCACATGTAAAGGGAACAAAAATACAATAAAATTTTAATGATAGATCTTGCAGAATCTCACATATTTTGTATAGGTATTGTAGTTTTAAAATTTTGAAAGCATATGCACATGAACAAACACAGCACACACTTACCAGCTTCACTGTAAACTGGAGTAGGACCAAAGCATAGATTAATAGCTTTGTTCATTTTGAAAATAGTTCATCATTTACACTACGTATAGCCATTGTAGACACTTTCAGCCCATTTATCTCTTAAATACTCTTGTGTCATCATCAACAAAATGGTGTCATACTTGATATTTAACAAATTGAGAGTTTCATGGGAGACAGAATGCAACACATCATTAGTATCATTTTATTTTTTTAATAACAAAGTTGCAGACATTTGTTTTGTTCTAGTTGTGTCTAGGAGACGGGTAGCAACGGGTACAGCGGCGTCAGACCACAGGTTTGGTCGGTTGCAATAGCAAGTTGACCTCGTTGGTCCAAGAATCAGCAGCATGGACCCTTCTGGGGGCCCGGTCAAGCCAATGGGGAAGCAGCAACTGCCCTCCCAACCCTCATGCACACTTATCCTCATCAGACAGCCAAAACACTCTTCTCCCTGAATCCCAGATTTTTTTGTTGTTTTATATTTTTCTTTTGAGCACCATTCTTTCTCCTAATTCTGTGAGGAAGTGATAAGAGGTTTGGTCAGGCAGCCAGGGAACTCTTACTATGAGAGCCTAGCCTTGTATGTCAGCCATGAATCTCATTCTTACACATTCAAGCACAACACTGTTATATCTTTGAAACACAAGGAAAGCAGGAATTATTAGGGGATATAACTACATAAAAAAAGAGGGGGCTAAGAAGAGGCACTGATTAGTCTGGTATTGTGTGAAAGAAGGAATGAAAAAAAAATATTAACACTGAAATTTAAAGAAGAAATGGGTAATCACAGATTTTCCTGCTTCATTCTTGCATATTCAATAGTCCAATGAGTAACATTGATCTGTATGGTCACACATCATTCCATCTGCACATTTGATGCTTTAGACAGAAAACTGTCTGTTTACGACAGAGGCTGATATACAAGGCTCTGGCTTCTTCATTATCTCGGCAAATTTGTTTATGACCCTACAACTAATGTTCTACTCCAATGATTTATCTCTGTATGTATAAATTATGAAGACTACAACTTATGATTATAAACTAACATTTCCCCCCCAGCTATGAGCAAATGCACAGCAAGGAGCTTCATTTACACAAGTCGGTTAAGATCTATGAAATCATTTTGACCTGTTTTTGAAAGATTCACTCGTCATCACTATCCGTCATCACATAGACCACTTTAACAGGATCACACGCAGAGAAAAATGCATCACAATACAATAGGGGTAGAGAGATCTTGGCATGTTGACATGACTTATCACTGTATATGTAAACAAAATGAGGCTATTTTGTAAGGTAATATATGATAAGTGATGTGATTTTCACAGTGGAATATGAACTGAAAAGTGAGTACTGTACAGTATATACTTCATTTAGTAGAGAATATCATATGATTAAACCAATGTCAATGTTTCAAGATACTTCAAACAAATAGAAAAAATTCAAGAGGTAATGGGTATTTTTTTGGACACTGAAGCATTCAATCAACATAGTCTAAATCTCAAGACCCCGACAACAATTTTTTGCCAACAATGTGTAAGTGCCCAGTTCATGGCTCATGCCACCCACTAAGGTACTACCAGCCTCCAGTACAAGGAAAACCCTGTCTCGTGCCATTCCTATATCAAGTCAAGAACCTTTATAAAACTAAATGTTTTCCTTGGTTTTTGGCACTGGACTAATATACCTTGCCTGTTGCACAAGTGTCAGTATCGATCATTATGGATTCCATTTGTTAAAGACCCACTTTCTAATTCACAACAGGGATAATAGTCCCATTTCAAATGCAAAAATCCATAATGGCTGATCATGACACAAGATGAGGAGAAGGTTCCTGAGGGCGGCGGCACCTCGCACTCTATGGAGCACCACAGGTCTACGAGCCAATGAGAGCTTTCCCTTACCAACCCTATGTCACCCAATGGCCACACATCTCCATTCCCATCCTCCCTCCCTGACTAGATACTGAGGAATCTTGGTACTCACTGTAAGGTACCTTATAATAATTTGCTTTCACTGTAATACAATGACAAAATAAAGGCAGACATTGATTCCAATGCAATACTGTACTGTTAAAACTATTGTAGAAATAATGATTAGTTGCTTTCTCCCTTACAAATATTAGATAACTATGACTGTAAAATTTTGATTAAATAGTACCTAAAGAAGTTAATGACCTGCATAAAACTGCTTCCAAGAGACAAGTAAAGATAATCATCCTTGTTGACTTCCTTTTGGTTATATAGTGGCCATTGAGTGGGGGTTCTCAGGGAAGGGGCTGCCAGTGCTGTGTTCAGGATGGAACAACGCACCATCATCAATGGCATAAGATTAGCCAGAGGTCTAACGTGAGCCTGAGGCATGTAGAAATCTATGGTATACATCAACCAATGGCCTATGGGACACCAGTAGCAAACAACACACCACTGGAACTCCAGGAGGCTAAACCTTTTATTGACATTTTATGTCACAACTGTTTAACCTGTCACTGCATTCTTGTACAAATTTAAAAATGCAAGGGATATTTTAAAAAGTGAAGATCCAAAACCAGTTATACAATTTCTGCCACACTACATTATTTTATAAAAAAAATAATAAATAAATAATAATAATTATAAACACAAAAATAACTATGAAACCTGTGGGAATTATAAATGGCCAGATCATGATGAGGAAGGAGCAAATGTTTAAATAAACCTGAGTGTGTCAACAACAGACACATCACCAGGCCAGAAAAACACAGCAGTTCTCTTTACTCCATGGAGTGAGAATTATTTACACAGAGATTAGAGACAAATTAAAATTGAAGAGCAACTTCTTCACTCAGTTATAGCTTATTTTCAATGTTAAAGAGTGAAAACCTCAACCTGGAGTAATTTCTAACCTCCCTACAGAGAGTAAAGAGAAGTCATCCAAGTTTCTGACCTCCTCTATGATGATCACAGTTCTTGATTTTTCTGAAGCATGTAACAAATAAATCTACTTCTGAAAAAGTAATTTTACAAACTTCAACATTACACTGATTAATTTTATACAACCACCTAAAAGCTGAAAAAAATTAAATAAAAAATTTAACAATGCTACTACTGCAGGCCAATTAAGAAGCAATAATAATAATAATAATAATAATAATAAAAAGATTCATTTGAGAAATTATTCGAGTTTGCTATATTCCTTGCAAGATGAGCAAAATCTATGCCATAGTCTGGTTTTGTGAGTCCTCTACATGGTACTGGCTACAAGAAATCACCATAGTGGCACAACACAGCACATAGGAGGGCGGGACCGGGTCACTGTGACACCCCCTCCTCAAAGGCAGCCCCAAGCCACTGAGGTCGTACGGTAGGAGGACAGTCTCTCCATTTTTGTTCTGTTGTGGGTTGGATACAACAACTCCAAACTAATTACATCTTTGCTTGCTTTACAAAACTGGTCTGAGGCAGTTCACCAGTTTTGTGGATTTTCAAAAGGGATAAACGACCCCATCACAAACATGGGAAACAATTTGATTTGATAATCCAAAAAACTTTTAACCTTGCCTTCTGCCTGACATTGACCTACCACCCTGTCTCCCAACAGCCGCTAGACTATGTACACATCATGGACCGCGCACACTGACTGTGAGTGAGCTCTGCGTTCACAAAAAGGGTATGCCACTGTGAGCAAATGTACACAATAAAAATAATAAAAAGAACAAGGGCCTTATTCAACTGTCATATTCTTCTGTTAACAATGCTTCAGATTTCACACATTCAAGCCTTACATAGCACATCCATAAGGCTATTTCTCAACTCCTGAGTAAACACACCTAATTGGGGCATCCTCTATAAATTCACAATATGCCATATACATCTAATTCATGGTAAACCAGAGAATAAATGCCCTCTATGACAAACACTATTGATGAAAACAGGTCAGCACTTAAGAGGAAGATGAAACAACAAAACAAAGAACAATCTGAACACAGTACATAGAACTCAAAAGTAAACATGGGGTACACCCTGATTCTTCCATTGGTATGGTCTTGCTCCTACGCTAATAAATATTCCCAATTATGCATTGGATTTTGGCTTGACTTCCTTTAGTAAGATGACTAAAAAAAATAAAAAAATAAATAAATACAATATAAGCAGAACCTCATTTGAATGAACTGATAAAAAAAATGTGAATCTTTACTTACACAAATATATAATACAGTATGCTCAACTGTTAAAAACAGATTTATAAACATGATGCAAGCCATCAGAAGACAAGTGTCTAGCTTTACATTACTGACACCTGAACTCATACTACGGAGTAGCTACACTCTCTGTGATCGCTTCATACAAGTTTAATCAGTAATTATATGAATGAAAATTAGGGAATTGATTTTACCTTAATGAATACCTCAAAATATGATGTCATAAAAATTCTTTCCCACTAGACCATTTACAATATATATACTGTATATATATTACCTATTTCAGATTACAAGACTGTAATGTGCTCACACATTTAATACTTTGTCAACGTCAACTGCCAAATTAATTCAAGGTTATACTCAGAGAAAAAGTTTTACTGAAAATGTCGACAGAATACTGGTGTCTTTCTTGTTTCTGGTGTCAAGGTTCAATATACATACTTATGTATTGGAAATATAAATAGGGAAGCTCTATAAAATATTCACTACCACTGTGAAGCCAAAATATAAGTTAACAAAGTCAGGAACTTTGAATATTATAAAACTTAAATTTTTCAAAATGCTTAACAAACAGTTTACTTGGTTCATTAACCAAAACCAATACCCATGGAATCGATTCTATATAAAAGAAATACCCCCATCATCCTTAAAAAGTCTATAAAAAGCAAAGTTAAAAAAGTGAGCAAATACTCTCTCATAAAATAAAGAAACAAAGAAGAGGTCATAAAAGATTCACCACAAATGATATGCCAATGGTGGGTCCCCCAAATCACATAAAACTGTTAGACAACTGGTGAGGAAACACTATAGGAATGAAGGTATTGTGAGGTCTTTGGCATGATGTTGATAGGGAATTAGGTCAGACAGAAAATTCAATAGATTCAGCAGGAGTCAAAAAGATGCAAACTGCTTTATGACAATATTTTGATAGTTATGGTTTTGAAGTACAGAATGGAATATACTCTACATTTGCTAAAAGCTGCTATCTGACTGAGCATTATCCAGCTGGCCACAAGCTGGGTGTGGGGGAGTTCTCTGTTGTGTGGGTGATGCACCAGCTGGGTGTAGGCATGTTTCTGGTGCTTAAGTCAAGCACCAGACAAGTGTCAAGGGTGAGGGAACTATGCTGGTTGTCTGATGCTTTGGAGGGGTGTATGGTACTGGGGAAGGTATAGGAGGGTGATAGTGTTGATTTAATGACACATCAACCTGGTGTTAGGTGGACAACTGTTGCAAAAAAGATGTATCAGCAAGGTTAGGGGTAGAAATCTAGCAACTGATTCATCCACAGAGTACTGGGTGAGATTTATGCTTAATGGGTGTTGCTTTGAATGGATGTAGGGAAGGTGTCTGCTGCACAAGTGATGCATCAACGGTAGGCATTGTGGTGATGGATGTTGTGGTGGATGTGGTAGTTGTGGTATGTGAGGAGTGTCGGTTGGGGGAGGGGAAGGGGTAAGTGGTAGTATAGATGTGGTGGTGGCGGTGGGGGAGGGAGTTCCTGAGACTGGATTAGCCAACGCAGCCAGCCCGGCCCTCAGGCAGCCCAGCAGCCAGCATGCAGCAGGGCAGCCTACGGCCGGTCCCTCCTCACCAGCGGGTAATAAATAACAAGATAAAAGCAGTGCCAGCAGAGAGAGGGGGGGCCAGGCAGCTGCGTTGGAAAGTGGGTGGGGTCCCGCCAGCCTCCACTCTGGGTGTCACAGGCTCACATCACACAGGCACACACGGTCCTGCACCACAGTGTGGCCACTGGCCTAGCGCTGTCTCTGGCCAGGCTCTTATCAGTCTCACTGTCCAGGGCCTGGCTGCCCACTGTTCACAGTACACTGTTGAGCAGGTTGCTAGGTGAGCCCAGCCGTTAATGACTGGCTAAGGGGCTGTGCTGCACCACCATAGGGCTGTCCTCACCCCCTGCACCTGCCCCTCCAGGGCCCCCACCACCTCCTCCTGTACCACCACTGCTGCTCTGTCTGTGTCCCACTCGCACTGCTCCTGCTGCCGCTGCTGCCGCTGCTGCTGCTCCTGGTTGTGACATAGGCAGAGGTTGTGGCTGCTCAAGATGTCCCCCAGGTGGCCGCGCCCCTTCATACATGACACCAGGGCCCCCAGAAACAACTGGCACCAGCGAACCTCCTGGGTAACCATAGCCAACAACACCTGCCTGCCCTCCACTACTCCCACTGCTACTGGAGGTAGCTGGTGGAAAAGTGGGCAGTCCAGGATAGTGGTATGGAGCTGAAGGTGGGCCTGATGCACTACTACCACTACTGGGTGCCAAGGGGAGGTTGACAGAGCCAGTCTGGGTACAGTCCAGGGCCATAGGTAAGTATGGATGAGTAGAATATACTGCTGTAGGTGGCAAGGATCCTCCAGCAGCTGCCGTGTTACTGGACGACGTGGCTTGGGGTTGGGGCCGTCCGGCAGTATCTGGAGGGCGGGGATCCGGCGGTCGACAGCGGTGGGCATGGTGAGGGTGCACGTGGCGGGGATGGTGGGCTGCATGTGGAGGGTGAGCTGCATGATGACTAAACACCTCACAGTCCATAGCCCCATGAGAGTGCCCAGTGTGAGTGTGGTGGTGAGATGGATCTGACCTTGCACGACCTGACACTGCCACTGAAATGTATAAGGTCACATTGTCATTAATATCAATACAAATCAATTTAAAAGCAATTTCAAACCACTCTAAGGAGATAATATGACAAAACAAAAAATGCGAATACTAATGATACCCAACAGCATGAAACTACTTTGTGACAATTCACACAATTTGTAGCAAACCCTGAGAGGGCACTGGTGCGTCTCTCGATCAATTCAGTGCATACCACAGTAAAATAATGCCCTTCACCTTAGCTTTAATAATAATGAATCTCATTGCTTGTGAGCAAAGAGCACTTTTAAGCCAAGGTGCACTTAGTATAAATACTCACACAGGAACTTATTACCAAGCTTTGATTAGCATACTCAAAGTTAAAAAATACTCTTATATTCCTTGATAATAAGTATAACACTTACCAGGTTGAGAGGTTGAATGATTGATGGGAGAGGCCACAGTGTGTTCAATCGCTGGACTGGTTGAATTGCTTGTGTTTGTGGATTCGTCACTGGTTCGTTTAAAGAAGTTGTGCTGCAGGCCATAATATGGGGTGATCCTTGTCTTTGGGTCATAGTCCAGCATTTTCTTTATCAGATCCTCAAACTTGAGATAATCAGAAACTGAGTGACCCTGTTCATTCAAACGTCGACCACCCGGGCCACCACTTTCAACCCCAATAATGTCCCGCAATTTACGACTCATTGGTGGCTTATATTTCTTGCCATCCTTAGCTTTCTTAAGGATATAAGTCCCATCAGGCAATTTATCAAAATATCGCCGTGCTTTCGTGGCCATGTCCAAGATATGCTTTGGTGGCATTCCTAACACTTCCACAATCTTGTTCATCTGGTCCACCTGCATTAAGAAAATAAGTATACAAATAAATATCAAATATAATAAATATATAGTCATGGACTGATCATATACACTTAGTAAAAACAGAAAGAAGTCCTGTATATATATTAAAATTATACAAATTAGTGTAATTATGCGAGTAGGGAAATTCAAAAGAACAAATAATTCATATTTTCTGATCAGTAAATTACAATAGCAAAGTCTATGGATATAACCTGAACCAGCAAATAGAAGCTCATTATTTTTTTCTTCAGATGTTTAGGTTATATATTTATTGCAACTCCTGCAAGACAAATGGTTCACCTCATTGGCCCCTGAAAACAGAGGTTCCCCTGTGTGCATCTCCACCAGGATACATCCGAGACTCCACATGTCAATGGCCATATTGTAAGGGATACCCAGCAACACCTCAGGTGACCGGTAAAATCGTGACTGAATATACTGATATATCTGCAAAAATAAAAATAAATTATAACTGCATATAATATGGATACTATTTTTATATTATGTAGCGTTGCCATTAGCAAAAAATATATTAAGAGGGTCTGCTGTAAGGCATTATATGGTTAATACAACTCCTGAAATTTTTACACAGAAAATTTTTTGAAGGTTTAGATACACTCATTTATAATGGCTACAAAGGTTGTTTAGTATCAAAGATATAAAAAAAAAAATCTGGATTAGATAGGAAAATATTTTACTGTTAAAGGATAGTTGAGGCAGAGTAGGTCTCCCTTCAAGAAGTTTTGGGGGAAAAAATAATCCAAAACTGTAATACCATGTTGGCTTCCTTGAAACATGGTCTACTATCCTTAGCTAAGTCATCTACTAACATCCAATATTTCATCTGTCACACTCAAGCAGGGTCAGTCTTCCATTCTCTCTCTCTCTCTCTTTAACCTATCAAATTACCTTCACAGTTCCAGCCTCCTTCAAAAGTACAAACCTTCCTGTAAATGCTACATCCACCAAACCCACACATCTACCTTCTTCATAAAATACTATACTGTATATGGTTATAAACATTATGTATGATTGATTTTTAGGCCATTTTTTTTTCACCTCTCCTACTATAAATGCATGAGTACACAATATTCAACATCCTCAACTAAACTTACCCTCTGGCCCATTTGACAAGAACTTCCAAAATCCACAATCTTAATTGCACTCCGCTTTGGATTGCAAAGTAGAATATTTTCTGGTTTTAGATCACAGTGGATTATCTGAAGCTCCGGTGTGGACAGGAAGAGGAGAGCTGTGCACAGCTGTTGCGCAAACTTGCGAGTCAGATTCAGCGACACACCACGGAAGTTGGTGTTGCGCAGGAGGTCATATAGGTTGTAAGATAACAGCTCGAAGACCAAGCACAGGTGATTGCGCCACATAAAATGTCGCTTCAATCGTACTGTTGTAAAAAACAAAATAAAATAAAATGTTAAATGCTGTGGGTTATCAAATTTGTAATATCAATATAATTTCAGTCGTGTTCACTATTTTTTTTTCTCAAAAAGATTCAAGTACTTAAGTATAAACACTGAAGCACTCAAATAACAAAAAGCAAAGTTAATACAGTATCTATAAAGCAAAAACATAAAAAAATGCAATGATTTGAAAATAATTGACAGAAAAGTTGCGCAGAGCAAATGCACAGGGTAAAACTAAGCAGTCTGGTAGAGATTTTATAATGAAATAATGGAAAAGGGTTATATATATATATATATATATATATATATATCTTGATAAAATCACACGGGAAAATGGGAACAACGGAGCACCTTAGCTTTCGTCTTTATTCAAGACATCTGAAGATGTCTTGAATAAAGACGAAAGCTAAGGTGCTCCGTTGTTCCCATTTTCCCGTGTGATTTTATCAAGATTTATCTTATCCACGTTTTCATTGTGGATTTACATGAAATATTATATATATATATATATATATATATATATATATATATATATATATATATATATATATATATATATATATATATATATATATATATATATATATATATATATATATATATATATATATATATATATATATATATATATATATATATATATATATACATGTATATATATGAAGAAAATAAAAGGATAGATCAGAAAAAAAGGGGTATTCTCTGCACAGTTCCCATGAAAGAGTCAAGTTTATTCTTTTCTAATTTGGTAGGTCCTTGACCCCAAGACTTATAAGCTCCCTGACTTCTTCTAAATCTTACACCTGCCATTAGTTATAAAATCCTTTACCTTATAGTACAGATAGACTTATGCAATAGTAACTGCTTTAAAGATTCTTGTTAAAAATCAATAATAAAAAAAAATTATATATATATATATATATATATATATATATATATATATATATATATATATATATATATATATATATATATATATATATATATATATATATATATATATATATATATACAGTATATATATATTTACTGTTCCTATATAAATTTTTTAAGTCAGTGGTTCAACTCAAAATGGTTCTATATGTGTCAATATTCGCTTATTCAACCTAAGCTATGGTTTTCCAATTTGTACACAGCTACTAACCTTACAAAACTGTAGAGCTCCTTTATCCTTCTTCTCTAAACCTAACAATGCCCGTGAACCTCACCTAAGGTCTTCCAATATGCTGGTATCAACTAACCTCACAAAAAAATATTAATCTAGCAAATATTTTTTTTACCTAAAGGGTATGTTCACTTACTTATAGATCATCTCAAATACAAAGTGTTCCTTCAAGTGTGTCACTAAGTGCCTCATCTAAATCCTTACTGTGGGAGTGTTATATCCTCTGAATTACTGCATTATGGACATCATCCTAATACAAGCGCACAGCTACGCTAGTGTTCCAATATGTTCTCTAATATTCCATTTTATACAGTATATAACATGCAACATCTTACACTAATGCAGATGGAGTATGCACAGTACAGTATATTTCTTCAGCCTTCCCCAACATACATCAAGGGGGGGGGTGTGTGTGTGTGTGTGTGTGTGTGTGTGTGTGTGTGTGTGTGTGTGTGTGTGTGTGTGTGGAGGGGGGGTACTCCCATATTACTCCACCATAAACATGTTTTAATTTTTTTTAAAAAAGGAAGGATAAATTGATCCTGAAATTCATTTCTCAAGCCAAGCCTGGATCACTGCAACTCTCGCAATTTTCTCTCAGTATATGTCAAAACCCAGGTAACCCTTAACATAGTGGCTAAGATTAAATCTTTTACTAGTTTCACCTTTCTGTGATAACTAGGTCCCTAAAAGTGACCTTAGCTGAGACAACTATCATGTAAAATAGAAAGCTATAGACTAAAAAGTCACACTAGTATAAAAGGAATGCATTTTCCAACTGGGTTGGCCATGTTGGATCCATGTGTCAACCCTTCAATTAAAGCCAACTTTCACACTACCAACTGGGCTGAAAGGCAGTACATAGCTGGATTGCTTAGTTCTGGGCTCAGCTGTGAAAAAGGGGATTTCAAAATCAATCCTCCTGTCATGCCCCGTGTTATGTAACCTGTGTAACTGAAGCCAGCCACAAGGGAGGATGTGGCTAATGCAGCAATGCACCCCATTAAAATAGGTTCCTCTACACCAGGGGTTTTCAAACTATGGGTCCCGACCCTTCAGTGGGTCGCGAAATAAATAAATTGGGTCGCAAGATAAAAATGGGTCGCGAAAAAAAATAAGAAAAAAAATAAGAAAATAAAAATAAATGCACCATAATTTAGGCTTGGTTATTGTAATGTACACTCCACAGTCTAGGAAGCGACTGCAAGGAGAGCATTTCCTGATTCTTTCTTTACCTCTCATGTCAGTGTTTGTCTTTGATTTACTCATTTCATATCATTACACTTAGGTTTAATGGGTCGCAATTCAAATTGTTGTTCTGGCTGTGGGTCGCAGTAAAAAAAGTTTGAAAAACACTGCTCTACACAATATAGCAAAGGAAAAATTCTACCAATTATCTGATCACTGGATCATCTAGAATAATAATTTAGATACATGTATCCTCCTCCCCGCTTAAAATCTTCCCCAACTGTTACATTAAGATGGTTCAATTATATGACCAGAAAAACAACCTATACTGTATGTCAGCATTAACATATAATTAGCACCGAACTAAGTAACAGATAGGTTGTAAGAATAACAAAATAATATATTGCAACTTAAATGAGAATTTTTTTTTAATAAAGTCATTACTGTATTATATACACTGTAATCTTTGTAATCCTCCTACAGTGTGGATTCTGGGATATGGGTCAGTGAAGTAAGGCCCAAGTGTTACAACTCTTTTGATGGTACTGTAGTATATCCTGTCTGAAGTAACATTTTAAATTAGCTGGAAATGAGTTATAACGCACCGAGAAAAAAAAAAATAATACTCATCCAGACCCTTAATGAAGCTACACAGAGCCAGAGACTAGTAAGCCGAACCAATGAGAACTGTTAGGACCTGAATGTTCTCATGTAGACGTACCAATCCAACACAACCAGCCTACATAATATACCCCTTGAGGGGTTTACCCATAATTTAATCTGAAGTACAAGAAAGCACATACCAATCTCTACTAGAAGACATTATTGTACTGTATACCCCTAAGGGTTGACCCCAGCTCATGACAAAATTAAACTTCTGGCTAATTATTTCAGATAACTTGCCAGATGTCCCTACACTTAGGCCAAATCTCATTTTCTGAAGCAAAAATACATGAAGTATGGTATTTTCCCAGACACTGCTAGGGTAGAGTATTAGGCCACAACATCAACACATCAGACTGAAACTATCCCCTGTAACACAAAGTACAAGTAAGGAAACACACTGAAACTGTTTGAATCAGCCCTAATCCTTCACTAGTTCTAAAAACTGGCCCAAGCACTTAGAATTCCTTCCCTACTAGGGTATATGAGGCTATGCTGCTGTGAAGATCAACCTAATAAGGTGAAAGTGAGGCTGAGCCTGTCAAGTTAATGCTTGAATCCAATATGGCTGACCCAGATTTGGTTGTACTGTCCTAGGAAGGTATACCCAAATTTACCACTTAGTTTCAGAAACTATCACTGAAGGTCACCAGATGGTGACACACAGATTTAGTGAGTGTATTACAGGGGTCGCATAGTAAGAGCATAGGGCCAAAAAATAATGACACTTTATGTCCATTCTCTCTTCCACCTTTAATCATAATCCATCTCCAATTTTTCTTTCCCGTGCCCCTCTCCAAGCAAAATCAAAGACTGTACCTGTAACTTTCACTCTAATATTCAGGAACTGAATCTATCATACCCTCAAATCTGACTGAACAACATACAGTACTCTTCTACCTCAATATTTCAACTTTACCTTTTCCAACTATACATAAGAAACTGCAATAGCTTGTATCTAAGAAGCATTATTTAATTATGCGTTTAAACATTACTTTTCCGGAGAGGACTTGAACAAGTCAAATTCAGTAGCAATCTTCTGTAGGGTAAAACAATTTTTCCAACATAATCTTGAAAATAAGGATTGTGGACTACTGTAAGCTGGTGACAAGATCCCACAAAATTAAAAATATATATATAAAACAGAAGAAGAAAAACAAAACACTCAGGATTGATGTTCACTGTAACAAGTGTTAAGGCTCACATGTAGCATTTATATGAACCCTTGATGACGAGAAAGTGGTTGCGGTTATATTCCTAATTACTGGATAACAATCATTATAAAAACAACTACAATATATCTACTATTATGATCTACATTTTCTTACCTGGTTATTCATTGACATAGCATTAGTTTAGGTTTCCTTTCTGTTTAACATCCACTATACTGTTGCTGACAATCTGAGTAAGTAAAAAACCCAAAACAAACTCTTATCAACTCTTTTAAAAAACAAGTCTTCATATTGTTCTAAATACCTATATACTGTACTGCCTCTCCTCCAGACAACAAAGTTTATTAGCTATAAGATTGAGCTGACCACCTCACCATGTTTGAATCCAGGACTGTCGTTCTCCATGTATGCCAAAACCATCGACTCTTTTAACCTCATTGGGTAATACCAGTATATCATGAAATGTTTTTTTTTTTTTTATTCATTTAGGAAAGAACTGTTTCCCTTTATACCTTTTCTAGAAAATAATAGTTTACTTTTAATCAACTAATTTTGTTTTTTACTTCATTTATCATCACACTGAATTATGGTGTTTCAAGGCTGTCAGAGATGACCAAGATGGATTAGTTGCTTAACACCTCCAACAATGAGCCTCCCAGGGCTTTAAGGCTTAGCTCTTGGGCCAACTGGAGGACATTTGTACATCAAGTTTTACATCAGACATGTCGATATGGAACCACACGTGATCACTAGCTGGGTGATATATATATATATATAAGAAACTATTCCTCTAAATTTTGAGATTTAAAAAAAATAAGACCTGGATTCTTGGATTCTCAAGGTGTTCATACAGTGAAATTTCTGTGTAAATGCATATGTAAAAATGCAACTAACTGGCTAACTTGAACAATGGCATATCCCACAGGTATCCTAAATAACCTACATATAATGCCAAGTTTCCACTCTGTAAAAGTGGGTTGGCGATGTGAAGGGCATCCTGTCGTAATTCTTGCTTCAAATTTACCTGATGGCAACTGGGACACCATACCATCATGGCTAACCCACACAACTGAGAATATGGCCATAAATTGGCAGTGATGATAAATATCCCCAGGATGAAATACTCACATACATATCCATTCCCACATGACATCAATCAATCAACATACGACCATCAAACTCTATTTCTGCAGTGAACTTTCCTTCTCGCTACACGCACAACTTTATTTTGCCCAAGTATTTCACTTAGCACCAGTTTGGAGAAAAAATTAACATATGGTTCCTTTGAGAACCCAGACTTTGCTCATTATATAACAGAAGCTGGTTACTGGGTATATGGCCAAACCACTGATCCTATCTCACACTGAACATGAATCCCCACTGAGTTCTCTGTACTGATTTCCCTGCCGTATTCTATGGCTGTTGCACTAACCTACCATGTAATGGCTCTTACTAACTCAAATAAACATAAGTTAGATAAAATACAATTCAGTTATATAATGTTGACTGACATGTTGTTGAGTGGAAACACAAAATGATTCCTAATACACCAGTCACCAAAAATGTGAATTATTTGGTTACGTAGCCAATAATGAATGAGAAAAACTCATGTATGATATACTGTACTGGGTATGTTTTTCATTGTTGGAGGTTTAAACTTTGAACTCACACATATTAGCAACAAATGGAAAACACTCCTTCCACAAGTTTTATTTTCCATTTACAGCAAGGAAACTCAAAACCAACCCAAAGCAGTTTACTGCTGCATCTAATGTCAGTGTTTCTCTAGGTATGTAGTAATGTTAATTTCATTATGAAAATATTTAATCATTTACAGACTACTGAGCATGCTAATATCACACTGCATCAGTATTGTCACTTCCACACTATTTGCCTAAGTTTACTTAGGTTTATATTAACTAGTATGAAAGGCAAAAGGAACAGCAATAATAATTTGACTCTTCTCTTTGTATTAACCAAATTTCAACATGCACACACAGGATAGGGAGTTATGTGTTAATCTAAACTAATCACCACAGCACTCAAAACTACACTCAGCAGATTTCTTACAAGGCCAAACCACTAACCTTCTCGGTGTTCAATAATGCGGACAAGTGAATACTGAGCTACTGGATAACAATGTCAAAGCTGCTTGTCAAATTGGATAATATTGAGGTCGAGGGAAAAGGAAAGGTAGGGCAGTTACTAAACAAGCAAATGTGCTAGATAAAAAAAAGGGGGGGGGGGGATGGGTACTGAAAAGTGGGACATAAATAATGAAGCTCACTACAAATTTGGGATGTTCTAGATTATTTTAAAGAAATGATTAACTGCTTCAGAACTACTGTACATATACTGTATAAAAAATAAATAAATAAATGAATAAACTGAAGGACCAGGTTCACTTCATCATTAAAAAGGGCAAAAAATAATGAGTGGGCCAATATTTTTTACAAGTTCCTTGTAACAATCAATACAGAACAAGGTTGTATAAAACCATAACCATAGGTGATTATATGTGGTAAACCCAGCCATACAACAAGTTGGGATTTCTTAAACAGGAAACACATCTTCAGGAACACTGTACTGCTTGAAGAGGTATGTTATGTGTTTTTCTTTGAATAGCTTAAATTCACATTACTAAGAGCTAGAGGGCATCTATGGTAATTATTAAGTTTAAGAATGTCATTACTTCAAAATCTCACCCAAGCCAACCTGAACTCATTAAAGGCATTAGAAAACATGGAAAATAAGGAGATTCAAGTGTACGACAACCTAGAAAGACACGTCACCCAACACAACAGAGAGAGTTAAATACCGATTCAAAATTTCACCGGAACCCTAAAGTTACACATCCAATACCCACTCACGTACCAACAACAGTTTCCGCCGTTACACTGTTTTTGTCACCGTTGGATCAAAGGGTAACACTGCTACAACCATTACCTTCTTCCTACAACCCCCCAGCCTGACAACTACAGCATTTGGCTTGTTTCTTTTCCAGTCTAAGAGCTCCTGTAGCACCAATGAGTTCTATTTATACTGCATATATACTTTTTACAAATCTCCTAAATAATGTAGTTCTCAAAAATAAGATTTTAACAAACTATTTAAAATGGACCAAAAGGAACTGAAACTTTTACCAAATTATTGATTGAGATGGATGGAAGTAAGTGTGTGTGTGTGTGTGTGTGTGTGTGTGTGTGTGTGTGTGTGTGTGTGTGTGTGTGTGTGTCTGTGTGTGTTTGGAGATGAGTGTTCGAGCATACACCACGTGTCTGTGTTTGACTGATATGCATACTTATGAACACACATTTCAATATCATACAAACACAAAGTCAGACTGGATAAACCTTGAAGCCTTCCAAGAATAAACATAAATAAAAAACGAAAAAAGTGCATGGCTGAAATTGAAGTCAGTGGAGAGAAAGATAAAGAGAAAAAATAAAAATAAAGTTGGCTAAAACAGACTGAGATAATGTAGAAGCAAAACTAGAGTCAGCTGAGGAGTATTAGAGGTTAATGTGTTACGGGTGCATTGCGCGGCTTCATCTACCCACCTATCTTGTCTTTACCTATATAATACTTGTTGTCAGAATCTGCTCGATTCATCATCTCCAGCAGCTTCACTTCGATCTGCGCCTGGTTGAGGAATGGCTTCTTGTTCTTTATAATCTTGATGGCTGTCCACGTCTGTTCCTCATGGTCGAAGGCCTTGACAACCTAAGTGAGGAGTTAATGTTAATGACTGCATGATTTTTTTTTCATTTAATAACCTACAACTTTATGTAGCTACACCAAAACCTATTCCAATTTTACATTATGTACACTGACAGTTTAGCGCATGAGTATTCAACCTTTTGTGTATGGGGTAGCCTTGAGCTGAACAAAATAGTCTGGCATTAGGCAAATAAAATATTAAAAGTGGCAACCCCTTAGTGAAAAAGCTAAGAATCTGATTGAGCTTTGCATACAATGTGAACAGTAATAATTAAATTTTCAGTAGATTTTTAAACAGCTTCAAAATCAAAGGAAAATACACAGTACTTGACGATGTCTGCATAAAATAGAATACTCTATCACTTTATATAACCACTAAAGAAAACAAAATTTTACAACCAAACAAAAGTAGTTCTGTAATGTAATGAAAGTCACATGGAGACTAACCTGACCAAAAGAGCCTTTGCCTATCAATGAGTCAATTTCATATCTATCTTCAAACTTCTCCCCAGACTTTATCATATAATCATGGTTGTCGTCATCGTAGCCATCATTGTACACCTTCCGTTCCTTTTTGTGCATACTTGGACTCTGACCCTGCGTTTGCTGGGCACGTTTCTTTTTCTTGGCATAGTAAACCTAGTAAAACAAGGACACATACATTAGCTCATTAGTCTTTTGAAATTATTGCATAGAAACACCGACAATAATTAAAGGACAAGGTGTATATAAAAGACAGGAAAAAAAAAAATCATACTACAGTACAAACAAGTTTATGGTGTTCAAGTAGAGTTAAAATTTATTTTATAAATGTGGTAAATCACTAAGGTTAAAATATTTACATTGCCGATCCAAAATTGTTTTCTCAAGAGGACATAAGCAAACCATCAATATGACAAACTATAGTGTGCAATATGAAGCACTGCTTTAAGAGTCAATGATGTTTGTTTGTTTTCCTGTATGGATGAGTGTTACCATTTAAGGTAAGGAGGAAAGAGTCATAATGTCATACTGACACATGCACACCTTACTAGTCAAAACAGTTGGTCAGTCTATACAGTGCTTAAATCCTTCAGTTCCATCTGATTTCCAATTTCAAAGATGTGAGAAGGTAACAAGGGAATCACTTCTATATCTATACATAAGTGATTCAGACAATGTGAGCACATGTGTAAGGGGGCAAAGAGTGAAAGGACAAAATATGGGTAGGAACAGCTCATGAATTTTCTTTCCATCAGATAGCAGGCCTTTTTATTTGTCTTTTCTTATCTCAGGGGATATATTTAGTGTCTCACTGGTCCAGCACTTTGATTTAAGATCTCACCATATGTTTCCTTTTCTGTTACATTCCAGGATCTAATACAGTACATCCTGAAGCCCACCTGTCAACACCTCCCTCATGAACCGTGGCAGAATAAGTATGGTATATTAATTTAAAAATGAAACACAAAAATCCCCTATAAAAACATAATGCCTACCTCATTTATGTGCTTATAAGTTTTGATGAGATCGACTGAGAGTTTCCGTAGAGGGCCCTGTGCTGGATCACGGTACCTCCTTTCAGCTGGAGAACGGTGGAGGGCCTGTAACGGGACTGACTTATAGGCTCCTCCACCACCAACTGCTACTTGACTCCCACCAACCGAGCCTGTGAAGGGAAAATTCGTCGTTAGTGACAGTAGGATAATTAAAATAAAAAAATAAATAAACAAACAGTCCCATGTTAAAGTATGCCATAAAGCAAACCTACACAAATACTATTTTGTATCCTAAATAACTATACAGTACAGGTACTGTACATGAAACAACTATTCATGCCCCTGCTTATTTATATACATTTCTTAGCAACACATAGCTTACCCTGACCTTCAAAGTTAATACCCCCTCAAAGGATATTTTTAAAACAGAATTTTGTAAGGCTTCCCAGACAATTTTGTTTTTATTTTCTTCATTTAGCTCTCCTTTTTTTTCTCTTTTTTTTTTTACATAAATGGCTTCTGCATCTGGTGGTTTATACATATGGTATGAAAAACTGCTGAAACCTAATTGTTCTATTCAGATTACAAACACCTCCACAATAACATTAGATGACCGTGTAAATTTGTGAGCATTTTGTCTACAATTTAATTCCACTGTATGGCTTACTTACTAAATTAAATTCATAGGTATTAAAGTCAGTCTGACAACTACAGTTTGCTGCTCTTGTTTTCTTTAATATGGGCTTCCTCAAAGACAGCAAACACTACACTGACACTTTGTAAAAGGTCATTTATAATAAGCTCTGCATTGTACTGTTTGACATGTTTCAAGGTTTCCTCAGCAGATGTTTAAGTTGTTTGTCCAACCCATATTTCTTATAACTGTCCTCACCCGTGTTCATTTATCAGTTTTGTCAATACAGGGTATATGCATGTTCGTGGGTTTCATTAAGTTCCCTAACAGCAGGTACAGTCCATTGCGTACTTATCTAAATATGCTGAAATGTGATAAGGAGGATAACCTTTCAGATGTGACAAGCCTAGAATCAGGCACTTGCATCCTTATTGCATGAGTCACAAAGGCAAGCACCATCTCCGCATGCTTTCCTGTTGGGCGCTGTAAACGCTTTTATGCTTCGCCTTGCACAGGATACAAAAAAGGTGCCCAATAAACTAGTCCCCTCATGGGGCAAATCTGAAAATCTAAAACCTAGAACAGGGAGGATACCACACACCATCTCTACCATGGAAAGAGGTCAATATTTCCTTTTTTTTTTCTTATATGTGTGGTATTCTCTACACCCAGCCAATAATTTTGGTTAATCGGGTAAAAAATAAATAAGTTGGGTTATTTTTTGAAACAGCAGGTGAAATGTGCCAGCCACTATCTTATTTTAAAATAACATAAGACTGAAAATGTAGTCTAAGAGAGGGAAGGGAATTTGATGACATAATGATGGATGCCAGTAATCATCCTTTCAAGTACCGTAAGAAGACTGATAAATCTATACCCTATTAACCTTTTAAAAATTTTCTATTCTCAAAAAATCGGAAACTTATGAGTAATCCAAATGACATTTTGAGGAAGATTTCTTGAAGATGTTATAAAAACATTCTAGATACAGTAGTCAAAATTAAGAATGAAGAATTTTCTGGTGCAGTATTCACATTTATTTGAGAGAGAGAAAAGTAAGCTGGTAAAATTGAAAAGTTTTTATCAACATCAATTTTTAAAGCATTTAAAGAGGTAAATCTGGTTAGTTATTGAGCTTCCAGACAAGAGTTGATTCTAGTGGAGCTTAATTCAATCATCAGTTTAGCTTTACTAAAAACATAAACACACTTCCACTCTTTCAAGCCTTTCCCACCATAATGCTGGACAGAGGGAATCAAGAACAATACAGTACTGTACAACTGTCTACCGGTATCTCTCGTTAAAGTTTTGATATGCCTCTGGTTATCATTTAGTTTATATATTATCACTATCTTTGGCATTCTCGTGAGTCATTAGCTGCCATGAACAATATCTATTGGTATACAGTAGAATGTAAGAGCAAAAGGTGCAGTAATAAGGTAAAGATCAGCTCTAAAAAAACTACAGTATTATATATAAAAATTTGGGTAAACCTCCTTGGGCAAACCTTCTCTTTAAGTCAGCTGCACAACACAGTGAGTCAAACAACAGGTAACATACACGGCTGTATTTACGCTGAAATAATAATAATAAATGCTTACCATGAGGAGGAGGCTGCTGCGGAGTTCGATGAGAAGAGGACAGCTGACCCTCTGGCGGGACGTACTCCAACGACACCCCCAACTGCTGCAGCTGATCCTCCGAACACAGCTTGCCATACAGGAGGTTTGGCCGACCCCCGTACCCTCCTCCCATGTCACCTGCAACAACGCAAAATATCGTTAGTGACTGAAATTAAGAAATACAGTACTATGAAGGAAATAATAACATGGACAACTATTACAGCTCGCTAATACAGTACATCATCAGCCGAGATATATGATTAAAATATACAGAGTACTCATACCCTCTTGATTGCAATACAGTACAGTACTCTCCTTACTGTATACCATCCTGTAGTCAAAAATGGGTGAGATAGTAGAACTTATATTTAGTACAGTAGGTCCAAAGATCAATTAACTCTTAAACATCTAAAGCATCAGGAACAACAATAATAGTAGTTAGAATGTCAGCCAGTCAATCCTGCCCCTTTTCTCCATCACTCAGAACATATTTACACTCAGTTTTTTTAGAGGAAGCTGGTTACAGGCAAATGTATTTTCTATACAGTAAATAAAAAATTTCCTACTGTACTTCCATTACTGTAATCATAGTTACAGAGGAGGTCCATTACAAAACTAATCATAGAGACACATACACTCGCCTTACATAAAGACAACTTTGTTAAATTCAAGACATAGAAGTACAGTACTCACCCAACATTAATGGACGGTTTAACACATTACAGTATATACGTTATACAAAGAAAATACCCTAAATTCAAGTTTCAAGCCACCACAAGAAAGTAGGTAGCTATGGTACTTCCAAATTGAATTCATACATGTAAACCACTGTGACATAAATGTAATAAACAATTGGGTGTTGCATAATATCACAAATGAAAAATATAAAATTTGAAACTCCATTAGGTATGAAAAGCTAACTGAACTGAGTAAAGCTGGTGGTCATGATTACAGTTCAGACGACATTATTTTATTTTAGTGCTTTAATGGTTAAATATTATATCTAATGATCGGTCTATCTTTTTAAACTCCAACTGCCATCACCACAAACCAAAGCTTCAGGAATGGGCACAAAAATACATATAAATAATTGTCATAACACCTTTTTTTTACCCTGATTCAAAAGAAGTACAACACTCATGTACAATACAATACCTCTTGTTTCCAAATGTAATAAAAATAAATCTTATCTTTGGGATATTAACATCACCACACAAGACAAGCCAGACACATGAGTTTCAAAACACTTTATTCATACAGCAACATAAACCACCCAGGTAGTTAGGATGACACACACACACACACACACTCAAAGAATTTATATACTGTACTGTAGTCAGCAGCCTATTAAACTCCACGACAAATTCCAAACTTTTCTCTAATTTTCATGGCTTCTCTAAGTTTATTCCGGTCTTGTTTTACATTATTTTTTAAATGAAAATGGCACATTATTCGAGTTTACATTCACACTTGTATGATAATAACCTCCCACACAACTAAACCAATGAGAGAGAGAGATAGAGAGAGAGAGAGAGAGAGAGAGAGAGAGAGAGAGAGAGAGAGAGAGAGAGAGAGAGAGAGAGAGAGAGAGAGAGAGAGAGAGAGAGAGAGAGAGAGAGAGAGGAGAGAGAGAGAGAGAGAGAGAGAGAGAGAGAGAGAGAGAGAGAGAGAGAGAGAGAGAGAGAGAGAGAGAGAGAGAGAGAGAGAGAGAGAGAGAGAGAGAGAGAGAGAGAGAGAGAGAGAGAGAGAGAGAGAGAGAGAGAGAGAGAGAGAGAGAGAGAGAGAGAGAGAGAGAGAGAGAGAGAGAGAGAGAGAGAGAGAGAGAGAGAGAGAGAGGAGAGAGAGAGAGAGAGAGAGAGAGAGAGAGAGAGAGAGAGAGAGAGAGAGAGAGAGAGAGAGAGAGAGAGAGAGAGAGAGAGAGAGAGAGAGAGAGAGAGAGAGAGAGAGAGAGAGAGAGAGAGAGAGAGAGAGAGAGAGAGAGAGAGAGGAGAGAGAGAGAGAGAGAAGAGAGAGAGAGAGAGAGAGAGAGAGAGAGAGAGAGAGAGAGAGAGAGAGAGAGAGAGAGAGAGAGAGAGAGAGAGAGAGAGAGAGAGAGAGAGAGAGAGAGAGAGAGAGAGAGAGAGAGAGAGAGAGAGAGAGAGAGAGAGAGAGAGAGAGAGAGAGAGAGAGAGAGAGAGAGAGAGAGAGAGAGAGAGAGAGAGAGAGAGAGAGCACCTAACGGGAAAAGCTGGGGTTGGCTCCTACCCCTTGTAAAAAATCAATAGCCTCGTCATCAGCTGTGGCCACAACTCTCTCTGGCCTACCCCCACCTCCCATCCCTCCCCTACACATGGTGAACAAGATGCATTCTTGGCCCTCTCCCTTACACCAGCCCTCGTGCCCAAGCTCACCACCACAAAGTCTGTATCGTGTAGAAGACATCCTCCCCCCTCCTAACCCCCTTATCCCGACATAATACTCCCCCCCTGTTCCCAGGCCGCGCTGAAGACTGGGAGCTTGTGAAACACACAGAAAACACCGGGCTTCATTACTCTAATTACATTACCTATTTGAGCCATACCTTGATACAGAAGGGTAAAATAAATTTATAAAGTACCTGTATAAGAATAAAAAATAAAATAAATAAATGGGCAGTCTTTCTACCTCTGCCTTTATATACTACTGTAGTGTAGTGAGTGACTCCCAAGCCTGCCTCCCTAGAAGACAAGCATCACAGATTAAGGAGCTTTTGTTGTCATTTAGTAAAGAAAGAATACAAGACGATTTTCCTGGCTGGCACAACTTGTTAGGTGACTGGCAGTAGGCGAGACAGGCATAAGAAAGTAGAGCCGATGTATTAAGTTGCTTTAGTGACTGGTTAAGTGATGGTGAATAGGCAAGGATGCTAATAGCCACCATTAACTACTTTGTAACTGGGAAAGTAAAGAGGGACTGCTTGGAAACTGGCAGGTGAACACTGATGGGACTGGACTGTGGTTAGTGGTGTAAAATGAAGTCTAAGCAATTTATAATTTAACAGTGATGAAGATAAGGTGTTGTATGGTGACTGAGATACGCCATGTTGTTATGTACAGTAATATCGGATAGGAAGATTCACTGTAGAATGAACTGTGAATATAAAATCAAGTCCTTGTAACCTACACCAAGCAAAAGTATGCTGTAGGTAACATTAAAAGTATCATAAACATCAATAAATACAATCAATAATACAGTATAAAAGTAATGGGTTTTCAATACCCAAGGTCTATTTACCAGTATCAAATGTCCTTCTCAGCAGAGAATGATTGTAATATTTCCTACAACTGTTGGCAGGATATACACCGAGTAAGCGAACAGACCATTTCTGGAATGTCAGTCTCAGCACTTAGTGTACAAGTGTATCAATTACTGTATACTGTAGTGCAATGAGTACAAAACACAAAAACATGGCATCTGTAACTAGTGTTATGCAACCGGGTAGCCTTTTGGTTATCCTAGAATGTAAAATCAACCTTTTAGTTTGTATTTTCAACTAACATGGATAAGCAAAATCTTTTATGAACTCTGCTGTTCTTGACCCATTACTCAGTGTGTAAAGAGACAGAGACTCATTTGCTAATTACTGTACAGGTAATACATTGATCAATGTGATAAACTCTAGTCCAGTATTTAACACCAAAAACCCCAATTTCAGAAGTTTTTCTTTTCATTATATTTCTTAACTGTAAATTCCCATTCTGATAAAATACAGTAATTTACAGATTAATTGTATATCTTACAGATGCTCTAGTAATTTATGAGAATCCCATCAACTACAGAAATTAAAAAAGAATGCTGACAGATAACAGATTTGCTATCGAGTGGACAAACAATAACAATATAACTGCGATGCCAGAGAAAAAGCATTGAAAGTTTTCCTCAGCAAAAATGAATGTTTATTATACTTCTTCAATGTGTGTCAGTTCCTATGTATAACAAATGCCAACCACCACATAAATCAACAGTGTGACAATGAAGACAAACTGGTGTAGAACCTGCCAGATAGGGTATAATGTAAGGTACTAACCCCTGGATTCTACCGCTATATAAACAGGAGTTTCAACTACAGTACTTTCTTGAGGGGAAAATTACAAACTGAGAGGAACTTCATACAGTATAAGCCGGAGTTAGATTATCAAATCAAAACATGAACTTAAAGTCCCAAGAATAATTACGTTTGATGACCTCATGCTCAGTCACCAGAAGCAATAACTGTATAAATGAAATGAAGAAATACATGAAGCATCTTACAAACATCTGAACCATGACACATAACTAATAACAGGACGTCTCAAAGTACTCATTTAATTTGAACTTAACTTTTGAAGTGTACCGAGTGCTCCTTACAGGACCATTAAAATTAGATGTTAGCACAACACACTTGCTCCCACTAAACCTCTTACAATATTCACATTTACTATCAGAATCTTTCTTGAAAACTGTGGCCGTTCGTTTCACAATGTGGCCATCTTATTTTTAGATTGGATGGACGGACAAATGTACTCTTACGTCCCCATGCCTAAGACGGTGGCATTAAAACCCAAGATAAAAACATACAGAGATCACTTAGTTACCAATTGCATTAATCATTAATGCAATTACCTACCAGTAGTTTTAATGGTTGAACTTTGAAACATCATACCTCAATTTTGTAAAATATAGATCTAGCTATGTAAGATATGAAAAGCTGTACAGTATCCTGTAAAATCTTGTAAATACTGCACACTAATTTGTACATTACCGGTAGTTCAACCAGTAGTACAGAAACAGCGTGAAAATGTGTAAAGAGGGTCAGCTTAGACCACCCCTACTGGTTCCAGAGCCAAGGTATCCTATGGTGGAGGGTCTGGGAGGGCAGAACCCTCCGGAAGCACAAGGAGTTTGACAATCAAAGTTTAACACTACTGCATTTACTTTAGTAAATATGTAAAATAACAAGTGCACAATCTTTCTCCGTCTACTATTCCTCACCCAGACCCACAAGTTAATATACAGAAGGGTATTTGGGGTTTGGATGTTACTTTTGAAATGACTTCAGCTATAATTCCCACAGCCCTTCCTTTAATTATTTGCATCTTTGCAAATTCGTATTTTCCTGTCAGTTGAGACTCACCCCATAT